TGGGTCCCGGCCTAGGCCTGTAGCCTAGCTCTCTAAGCAGTAAGATAGAGTGGCAAAAGGATGGCCACTCTGCTTACGGGCTGTAGCCACTACTGCTCTCCTCGTGCAAGAAGCCAATAAGCTGACTCTAGGGCAGGACCACAGAGTAAAAGTACCCCACTCTGTGGTCACTAAAGGACATTTTTGACCCAGCCATGCCCCTTCCAGTCAATGGAAGAGAGACTGAGCATGACTGTGTGGAATTCATAGATAATGTGTACTCTAGCAGACCTGACTTGCGTGACCAGCCTTGGACAGATGCAGACTGGGACTTGTATGTTGATGGAAGCAGTTATGTGACAGCGCAATCCCTGGCAAAAAGCTGTCAGTCAGTGATGTGCCACCTGCAGCCAGTTCAACGCCTGCCAAGAACCAATGGTACCCCCAGGAATCAAATCATATGGAGCAATGTCCTTCGAGGACTTTCAGGTAAACTTCACTGAAATGCCCAGATGTAGAGGGAACAAATACTTGCTGGTGATGGTGTGCACCTACTCTGGATGGGTAGAAGCATATCCTACCCTCATTGAGAAGGCACAAGAAGACACCTGGGTACTCTTGAGAGACATTATACCACAGTTTGGGCTCCCACTGAGAATTGGGTCAGACAACGGGCCGGCATTCATCTTTGAATTGATCCAGAAGATGACTAATATCCTGGCATCACCTGGAAACTCCACGCAGCCTACCGCCCACAAGGCTCGGGGAAGGTGGAATGCATGAATAGAGCTATCAAAGCAAGTTTAGGGAAAGCATGCCAGGAGACAAACTTACAGTGGGTAAGCATTCCCCAAGATTAAGTGTACTCCTACTAAGAGGACAGGATTCTCACCGTATAAGATCTTATATCATAGGCCACCACCTGGAGCTTGCCAAGATCCCCCTAAGAATTAGGAAATGTAAAATTAAAGAAGCAGTTGCAGGCACTGGGAAAGGTGGCAGAGACAGTGTCAGGAATGAGTGAATGAGAGGTGTCCTGTTAGTCTGTTTTCCCTTGTCTACCCTTTCTCTCCAGGAGCTGCGGTGTAGGTCAAGGATTGGAGCGTATCTCCCCAGAGGGCGAGGTGGAAAGGCCCTTACAACGTTATCCTGACCACACCTACAGCTGTGAGAGTAACCCAAATTCCTGCCCAGATCCATTACAGCAGGGTGAAGCCTGCCTTGGAACCGGGGGAGAACCTGCCCCTGCCTAAGAAGAGGCGGACCGAGCAGGACGGGAACAATGGTAGCTGATCCTGAGTTCCCATGGCATGGGCTCCACACCGCAAGGACTCCTGAATTAGCAAAAGTATTGCCCAGAGAAATTGGAGCATGGGTTAGGTTGCCACTCTGGTTTAAATTTAACAACAGGCTAGCCTTCTTAACAGAAGTAGTGCAAATAATAAGCTAAAGCTTTGAATAACTTATAGGCCTCAAAGCTTAGACAGGATAAAGTATATGAACAGGACCATAAGAGCAGAAACTGGTAAACTCTGCCAGAAAGCAAAGCTTACTTAAATACAGGCCTTGCCACTGGTATTGTTCGAAGAGGCCTTTGTCAATTCTCTGTAATTTAGCAAGAACTCCTAAAAGAACTGAAAAGACAAAAACCCTAGAAAGGGTAGCAAGGAAAGTCTCCACTGGGGTAATTAACCTTGTTCTGTTTAGTCTTTTGTGTCTGTACATCCCTTCTCTCTGGAGAATCAAGGGGACCAAGTCTAGGTCTAGAATTTGTCCCCCTGAAACCAAGGTAGAAAGGACTTTACACAATCATCCTGACCACATGCACAGCAGTGAAGGTGGAAGGAATCCTCACCTGGAGTCATCACAGTTGGCTGAATAGAACTTCACTGCCCCTTGAAAAGTAAAGGTAACTTTTAAGACAGTCAACATGCCTTGCTCCAGCCACACACTGGGAGCTGGCTTGTCAACGCAGGGCTGAAGCCTGAGGAAACTCCTCGAGGGACTTGTCTTAATTGGACTTTGAACTTTGAGAAAAGAGAGGGAAAATGTCACAGGGAAAAAGTAAAACATATATGTATATTAGCCTACCACCCCGGTACTATTAAGGCCTGAGTAGAAAACCCAAGAAAAGTCACAGTCCCTAAAACCTTATTGCTAAAAAGTCATTAATATCAGCACCTGCAGAAACAAGCTTATATTGAGACCCCAAATTAAAAATATATTGGAGTCTCAAAACGGGGGGAATGAGAGAGGATACTGGAGAGGGGCGAGGTCTGGGAAAACAGGTCTTCTTAGGGAGACCACCAGGATGCACCTGCAGGGCCCTCTCCTTGGTGACTCAGCTCTTGGGAATTTATAGGCTTAACCTCCTGGAACTTGGAAATTTCCAAGTTCTGTGAAATCCTGTAGTTCTCTAGGGGCTGGACTAGCATCTCCCACTTGATTCAAACTGGCCAATGAGAAGGGTACCTGTGGGGATGGAACTTTTTGACTGTCAATAAAAAGGGAAAGACCAAGCCAGTCAGGGAGCATGGCCATTTGGAAATCTTCTACGCCATAAGCTCCCAGCTGATGATAAAGCCCTTCCTCTTATAACTATGGTGTTGGGGTGCTCTTTCTCTCCATTGGGCCTCGTCTTCCTACAACAATATGGTTTTACGTGTCACTGCCTAACAGTGTCCTCATACAGCAGGTTCATTTGGTAAATACTGCAATATGAACTGCATCCTCAGTAACAAAGTTTTCTTCCATAGGGGCCTCTGCCTACTTTTCTCAGTCCCACCGAACTGGTTATTGTCACTGAACTGGTTCGTGCCTAACTTTACACAGCACGCTGACTTCCTTAACACTCTCAATAAAATTTTACTACTGATGGATTCACCAGGAAGTTCTTTTAGCAATCAGAGTTTAAGGGTTCACTCCTGATATTCTCCTATGACCCCAACAAGTGTCCATGCACAAAAAGCACAATAAAAATGTGTATAAGAAGAAAGAAAAAGTACAGGAGAACCTCCATAGTTGACTACCTGCCTACACTGACCACCACCTTAACTTAAACTAATTTTCAAAGACAGGATGTGTGCCACACATACTTATCAGTACAGTAGGCCTACTTCCTTATGTTGACCACCTCCACATATTGACCCAGTTCCTTATAGTCCCTTGGGTGGTCAACTTACAGAGGTTTTATTATATACGGTTCTTCCCTTGATCAGCAATAAATAATAGCTACCATTAAGGACTGTCCCCAGGGCCCAATTAACCTAAGATCACTGAGATTGAACAAAGTTTGACACCAGTCAGGTTTATTGGCTCAGGGTAATAAGGAATCTGCCTTGTGGTTCTGGCAAACATTAACCTAAGACTCACAACAACCCTGAAGGTTGCATTATTACCCTAATTTTACTCATCAGGAAATTAAAGCTCAGAAGCAGTATCCTTCCTCAAAGTCACATAGCTAGGAAACAATCGCCCGTGTAAATGTAAAACCTTTAATCCCACACCCCAGGCCAAGCCCACAACTTTTCATTTAGACATTTTAGGCTGATGTTTTACAAACATTCTGTAACTATAGGAAGAATTTTTTCTTCAAATAAAACAATACTAGAACCCAGATACAGGATGATATCTTCCTTCAGAACTGCCCTTAGCCACAAGGGCAAAGCAGTATGCGCTTCTGTTTGTTTTTAACACATTTAATTCAACTTAACCGAAGAGGTCATCTGCATCTGCACCTTCTCATTTTTTCTTGATGTTTATATGCTGACCAGATCCTTTGAAAAGTGGTGGGGCAAAACTGGACATTTTATCCAGACATCACTGACGTATCACTGCCCAGGGCTAGAGCACCAGCATACCTGGCTAAAGGAACAGCAAAAGAAATGGAGTTTGGGTATAAAAAAGCACTCAGTGGAAGGCATTCACAGTTTTCCTTTACACAAAAGTAGAATGAGATGATTTAATTACAAATACCCCTAAGAACAGATCAACTAATGTCTTAGAGGATTTGCTAGATTTTAGTTTAAAAAAATAATATGACTTGAATGAAAACATATGTGTAGTAAGTTAAAATGGCAAAAATGTAACTACTTCAGAGTGTCCAGGAGGCCTAAGATAACAGGACAAAGTCGGTCACTTGTTCAAATCTGTCCAGATCCACGTCGTATTTGGCCACGTACCAAAGACATGGGGCGAAGGCGCACACCTGCAAGGAAACTGCATGGCCATACTTGTATGGACCAAGTTGCTGGCCAGAGACTGGGTCTGGGCTGAAAGAGAAGCAATGCCTGGGAGCAAGCTCACTGCATGACAGCCACTCTGCTGGCTTCTGGATCACAGCCAAAGTGCTCCTGGTAGGCTAAAGAGAGCTCACCACAGGTGTGGCAGATGCTGTTGAATGGGGGATTCACCCCTCCAGCCCCCCTTTGCCTAGCTGCCTTCCAGCTAAAGGTGGCCTGTGATCCAGTCTGGCCGCTGAGATGTAAGCAGAAGCCAGGCAGCAGGACAGCCACAGCCAAGGTGTCTAGAGGTCCAGCTCTCAGGGTAAGACTACATCACAATGTACTAAGGAAGGAGGATAGGGAAGAAAGAGAACCTGGGTCCCTGGCGACCTCTGTGAGTGCCTTAGTGGGGGCCACCTGCTTCTAGGTATCTTGTCATCTGAATCCTATAAATCCATAATTATTTAAGTCACCATAATTGACTTTTTGTTACTTGTAGTCAAATACATACAACCCTAACTGAGATGACAGATTCTGGTGACTGAGATTTCTTCTCCTTTAAAGTATATGATTTATGGGGGGATGGGGAATGAAGTTTTCTCCTATAAGTCACTTCTCCCAATACACACTCAAAACTGCCTTACTAGAAAAACAACTACTACAGACTTTGTATAGTCCCAGAATAGATTACTGAAATTAACAAGAACTTTATGTCTTTAAAAGAGCATAAACACAAACATGCAAGGTAATAACACAAAAACCCTAAGGTAATAAATAACTATTTCAGTGGCACTCTACCTTAGAAATGTTGCTTGAATGACTCATGGAATGTCCCAAAGTCTTCTCATGCTACAAGAAAGCCAAACAGGCATTAGTATCAAGCTTTAATTAAAATATGCAAAGAATAAGTAATTGATCTTCATAACAATGCTACTGACAAATCATTACCTGAACTAGAATTTACTAATAAGCACAAGCTACTACATCCTACATTCTACACGTGTGCAGCCAGGTACTATATACTGGGGAACTGAGCAAAATGAATAAAACAAAAGGAACGTAACAAATTACTCAGAAAAAAATTAAAAGAATTTGGAATTAACTGTCAAAATAACATGGTGATAAGTGTCTTAAGACTCATCTCAACAAACTGCATGCTCAGTTGTGTGTGACACAGCCCATGTTAAGAGGAGCCACTTTAGGATAGGGAAGCAGAAGAGCTGACTCCTCTCAGGTTGGGTGGCTGTCACAGTTCTGATTCAACAGGGACATGGCACAGCTCACCTCTTCTTTCTCAAGCTAGTTTCTCTTCTAGAGCAAAGAACTCTGGGAATGAAGCTAGCCTCCTCCCACTCACGCACCTCCATATTCATTCGTAAAGTCTTGTATCAAATTCTTCTTCCTTAATGTTTCTCAATCTCAAATCTCATTTCCATTTTTACTGTCAATGCTACAGTTTAGACTTTCCTCATCTTTTACCTGGAATTCTTGAATAACTCCCAACCCGGTCTTTCTTCAAGTTGACCACCCTGATATATAATTGTTATGGGCTAAACTGTGTGACCCCTCACCCCCAGAAAAACTCATGGGTTGAGGTCCTAGCCCCCAGTACCTCAGAATGTGACTGTATTAGGAGATGAGATCTTCAAAGAGGTAATTAAGTTTAAATGAGTTCATTAGCGTGGACCCTAATATACCATAATCCTAATGACTGGTGTCCTTTTAAGAAGAGAAGATTAGGACACAGAAACCCACAGATGGAAGACAACGTGAACACAGAGGTGAAAGACAGCCACCTGCCTAAAAGCCAAAGAGAAACGAGCCCTGCTGGCACCTTGCTCTCTGACTTCCAGCCTACAGACAGAGAGAAAATAAATTTCTGTTGTTTAAGTCACCTGACGTGTGCTGGTTTGTTATGGCAGCCTTAGCAAACAAAAACAATACTCTTCCATGTTTTGAATTTTTTAAGTGAACATTCCAAACATAAATCTTATTTTTAAAAAATAATAAAATAACTTCTTCTGAATCCACTCATTCCTGCTCCAAACCCAAATGAGGAGAAAACAAAACAACAACAACAACAACAAAAACCTGTTACCAAAGGGAGAGAAGATTTTACTCGTATCTTTCAAATGATCTATCTTCAGTTCACATGCCATGCACTAGCCATGGGGGAGGCCTAAAGGTTAATTAGCAGGTAAAATCCCTCTGTCAATCAGAAGTACCAAAGAACTAGTGGATTGCTTCATAACTCCTTTGAAGAAGAGCTAATTCTAGCCCATCAAGCCTCTTAAGCTAGCTATCAAGAAAGTCTGAATTTTCCTCTTTCCCTCAACTCACCAAATTACAGACTGCTGTCATTTCTGCACACTTGGCTTGTGAATGCTCAATATCCCTAAAATGCTAATGAAGCAGCATTTCCAGCATGTCTCAAGTGGTCTGTCCACCACCCCTTCTTCACAGCAATGTGCTGATGCCATTTTTTGATTATTTTTTATTATATTCTTTCCTTATTTTATAAATCTAAATGAAAACTGATAAACACATTTCTTATGTGTAATACAATATAGGTACTGCTACTAAGTGTTTAGCCTCAATGCAGTGTTTCCTGTTCTTAAGCTAGTTAACTAGTTATGCAGGAAAAGAACAAAATTATAAAATATGCTCAAAGTGTCCGGGGTATGTCACCAAAAGCACGCTTCTGAAAAACCAATTTTAATTAGGAATTTCATTTGGTCATGATAGTCACTCATTTGTTCACTGGGAATGGAAACCCTCTGTCCATAAAACAAGTAACCTGTAACCATTTCTGTTTCATTCACAAGTCAAGAACATACTATGCATAAACACAGGACAATACTGTGATCCCAGCTCATAGGCTAATTTACTAGTGCCTTACTACTGCATTTTAGTTTAGTCTACTAAATTAAAACAAGGATATCACAAGCCTTGGATTATCTGTACAGAAACTGATTATAACCACTATCACATTACCTGCTACTTCACAAGGAATGGCTAGTTTGATACCATCTGGAAATCTATAGAGAAGTCTTCAGGTACTAAGAAAAGCAATATATCATATCCTAAGGCCTTTTTGAGATTTATTATTCCACAGAAAATGGACATTGAGATGAGGAGGGATGTGGCTGTTAAGCTATCTAAAATCCTAAATCCAGCTGAGAGTTAACAGTTGTTCTTTATGCTTACAAACTTCAGAAACAATTTTTTAAATTTTTATTTCAAAATATTAAGGGAGTAAAAGTGTTTCTGTTATATGGATATAACAGAATCCAAGTTGTAATATTTGAGTAAGGGCTTCAGATGTGCCCAGGACCTGAATACTGTTCATTGCACCTACTTGGAAGAAATCTGATAATGTAAGCTTTTATTTTGTCTTTCTTATAGGAACAAGTAATATTTTACACTGGTAAATCAAATAATCAATCCCAGAAGATACAGATATTTTAAAGCCTGAAATCTGCCCACATTTAGGGCTGCTCCTGTATAGCTGGGACTATAGGCATGCCTGGCTTATGACTCATTTTATAAAAAATCAAATCATGGCCAGGCACCGTGGCTCATGCCTGTAATCCTAGCCCTCTAAGAAGCTAAGGTGAATGCACTGCCTGAGCTCAGGAGTTTGAGACCAGCCTGAACAAGAGCAAGACACTGTCTCTACTTAAATTAGAAAAACTAGCTAGGAATTGTCATAAGCAGGCACCTATAATTCCAGCTACTTGGGAGGCTGAGGCAAGAGGATCACTGGAGCCCAAGAGTTTGAGGCTGCTGTGAACTATGATGCCATGGCACCTACTGATTGTGACAAAATAAGACTCTGTCTCATAAATAAAATAAAATAAAGCAAATCATGAGTATTTTAAAAGTAAATTTCTGTGTAAAAGATGGCAATGAACTCACAATTGAGTTAATACAAATCAATCAATGAAGAAACAGATTGATATACAGAGTGGGAAAAACTAAGTCTGAGGGTACAAGAAAGCAAAGTTTTGTTAATATAAGTTACCAAATCACAAAGATAAAGAGAAGTTCAGTTGAAGAATAAGTGGCATTTCACAATTTAATCAGTCCTATCAATGATGTTTTACAATTCCATGTGTGGCTACAATAGAATGTTCCTTGGGGTAAGAACTGACAGGCAGAACCTACACAGACCAAACACGCCCTGTGAGCAAAAAAGGAGCAGCCAAGAATTATTAAAAAGACAATGAAGTGAGAAGCTTAAGCAAGTTTCTGGGATTCTATATAAAAGACTCAAACAATAGAAATTCATGTGGGCATTTCCCTGAAACTCTGATCAGGACCAATCATTAAAAAAAGAGAAAACAAACAAGTCTATGGGAGGCTCAGTGTCCATAGCTCTGTGGTTAGGGCATGGGCCACCTACACCAAGGTTGGTGGGTTTGAACCTGGCCTGGGCCCGCTAAACAAACAACAACAAAAAACAGCCGGGCATTGTGGCAGGCACCTGTACTCCCAGCTACCAGGGAGGCTGAGGCAAGAGAATTACTTCAGTCTAAGAGTTTGAGGTTGCTGTGAGCTATGACGCCAAAGCTCTCTACAGGAGGATGACATAGTAAGACTGTCTCAATTAAAAAAAAAAAAATCTATGGGCAAGAAACACTAACTTTCTATTCAGCATCCATCCTTCTTGACCCCTACAAACAGAATCCTGAATAGCAACAGCCCCAGCTAAAAGTTCTTCTCACTTTCCCACATCCCTTTGCAATTAAGAATAAATATGTAAAAAAGGTCTTTCTAAAGAAACTAACTAGAGGTTAAAAACATTTTGCTTTCCTGATTTAGCCACTGCCCATTTTTCTAAGACTCCCCCTCCCCCTCATCCAGCCTGAAAAATAGGTGTAATAACCAAGAAGTACAGCAGTTAACCTGGGGATCATGAAGAGGAAAGATATATACCAAGAATCTAAAATGTTTTGGTCTCAGGACGCCTTTTCACTATAAAAATTACTAAGGACCCCAAAATATCTATTATGAAATAGATATATCTTACTTCATTTAGCATTAGCAATAATAAACCCAATTAATATAAATAACATTTCTATGAAAGATAACTGCTTTTCCAAAACATAAAAATAAGTGAGCAGAGGGGTACTGCTTGGCATTTTTGTAAATCTTATCATCTAATTAATAGAAAACAGCTGGATTCTTCTATCTGCCTATGTACCCCATCTCTTCTGTTATGTTGCTTTTGCGGTTCCCACTTGGACCTCTAGTGTTGATGGGAAGAAGGCTTCTCCATCCCTCCCTTATCTGACTAACAGTAGAAACTTCTGGCAAATTAAGGCTGCCATAAATTCCCTCTTCAAAGATTTGCTCCCAGGTAGTAGACCCAGAGTAACCCTATCCCAATCCCCCCTCTCCAGGAAAGTTTTAGGCCAAGAAGGAAGAAAGACCACTTCCATCTGCATAGACAAACATTATCACAAGCTTGCTTGCTTTCCTCTCTCTCTCTCTCTCTCTCTTTTTTTTCTTCGTTTTCTTTCTGGCAAGGAGAACCCAAATACCAGTGTTTGTTGTACAGCCCAGAAAGTCAAGTTGGCCAGGGCTGGCACTGTGCCCAGAGATAATCCCCACTTGGCAGCACCATCCTGTGATAGCACACAACTTACCCCCTGAGAAACAGCTCTAAACCCTATTTTCCAAGAACTGGCCCTCTGCAGCACCAGGGAAAGTGCTTCCTTCAGCTCTTTGGTCAATTTATTTAAAAATGTGTCTCCCTCCACCTTTTTTCCCTGCTTTTGATTCTTGGCCAATTATTCCTGCTCAGCAATCTCTGTAATAAGGAAAAACTGGTAAACTAAACCTGT